ATTTACTTTAACGTCTTCCTCTTTCCTGGCCTTCAGGTTGTGGGTAACTGTGCTCAGTCATTGTGTGGCACTCTTCTTCAATTACAATTCTCTTGGTCTAATAACTATTCCCCATTCCCTTCTCTTCCTCCTTTAGGCTTAGAGTGGGAATAACTCCTTGTTATAGCATAGATCCAGGAACACTTCATCATCTCTTCCTAGACTACTCTTAGCCTTGCCTGCACATTTGTAAATAGTCCCTGCATTAAACAACACTTACTGTCTTTTACATGTTCTTTCTTACTATTGGACCCTGGGTAATAGTTATAGTTATGTTTTATTTTTTTTTAATGAATGAGTTAACAGTAAAACTTTTCACTTAGAATTTTAAACAGATTAGATAATTTTATTTCCAGATTATAATTGTGCGCTTTCTCATGTGTGTGTCTCCCCCCAAACCCCCGTGTGTGTGTGTGTGTGTGTGTGTGTGTGTGTGTGTGTGTCTATATGTGTAGGATTGAACCTAGGACTTCGTGTTTGCTAAATATATTCTTTACATACTTTTGAGCTGTACTTCTATACAAATAGTTGTATTACTAATGGCATTCACATTGCTTTTAGTAATATAAAAAAAACCTCAACAATGGAAGCATTTCTAAATATCTGGTTTTAATAGGTATCTATGTGTATTTATCAAGTAAATAGCAAGTATTTTTATATCAGTTTTTAGTATTAATTACTTAACATCAATTTGCTTCTTGTTAATACTTGTTTTAGCCATTGTAAATAGAATTTAGTCTTTGAATTCTGAAATTCAGAATGTATTAGTGTAGAAGACATTTTATGTTTTAAAGGAAAAAAACAATAGAAACAATGGTAAAAACTCAATGACTCAGCTATAATTATTGCTAAGGTTTTGTGTATAGTTGACATTATATTCTTTTCAAATTACTGTCATGCTGATTTCATGAAATAATTTTCCCCATAGGAAGAAAGTAGCTTGGTTTTTTTTTTTAAGGGACAAGTTATTTTCATGTATTTATGTGGTTCTTGATCATTTGACAGTTCCTTTTAGGAGGTGAGGGGATATTTATTTATCTTAATTTATAAGACTTTATTCTCTAATAAATAAAAACCAAATAACATGTTTAATCAGAACTCTTATTGTGGACAAATATACATAGATTGGAGTTTAAAATTTTAAATATATTTGTAACTGAAAATATGAAACAGCTTGATTTGTATCCTTCCAAAGATATTTAAACATGCATGCACACACATATATGTGTATGTACACACACAAATGTCTATATATAAACAATATGTATACTATAGTTAGGGATCAGAAAGTACAGCCAGTAAGGAGAGGAAAGTTCCTTATATTCCTGGATCTTTCCTTCTGGTTGGGGATATGTAGGTTTTTTTTTAAAATAAGTTTTTAATTTTATGTGCATTGGTGTTTAGACTTCATGTATGTCTATGTGAGGGTGTCAGATCCTCTGGAACTGGAGTTACAGACAGTTGTGAACTGCTACATGAGTGCTGGGAATTGAACCCAGATCCTCTGGAAGAGCAGACACTCCTCTTAGCCACTGAGCCATCTCTCTAGCCTCAATAGATATTTTTGTAATTGAAAAAAATTTTCCATACAATATATTTTGTATTGAAATATATCATGTTTTTCTTTTTCCCAGATCCTTTCCACCTCCTATGCACCCAATTTTGGTTTCTCCCCTTTCTTTTTAACAAACCAAATCAAGAAACTCACACATAAAACTCACACAAAAATGGAAGCCAAATATATAAGCAAAAGACCAGTAAATACAAAACAACGACAACAAGAACCACCCAAAGCAAGTTAAGACAAAAAGTGTACAAAATGCCATTGAGTTTGTTTTGTGTTGGCCAACTACTCTTGAACATGGGGCCTACTCTGAAGTGATAACAAGTGCCATTTGCAGTTCTTGCTTAGGGCTGAGAGCCAGTGTCTAAATTTTCTGCTCAGTGCTTGGACCCTGTCTGAACTGAGCCTGTATGGGACTTGTGAGTGCTGCCACAGTCACTTGTGAGTTCTTATGTGCTTCAGTCCTGTTGTGTCTGGAACTGGAAGACACTGTTTCCTTGATGTCATCCATCAGCTCTTGCTCTTACAGTCTTTCTCCCTCCTATTTTGCATAGATCCCTGAGTTCTGCCAGGGGTGGGGTATAGACAGTTATTAAGTAAATACTATTTAACACTGTGTTGATAAGTAACAAAAAGACAAAGAAACCAGTATAAGGTCATAGAGTGATAGGGGAGGTGTTATTAAACATCACAGTTAGAAACCTTTTCAGATTTGGTGGCATCTAAAAGATGGTTGAAATGAGAGGCCTATACATGAGCATCTGGGGAAGAGTATTTTTATGGAAGAGGAATGGACTGCAAAGATTCTAAGGCAGTAGGTACGTTGGTGTGCTTGAGAATAAGTGAGAGACTGTCTGACATGCAGAGAACAAACACTTAGAAAAGCAGAAAGGGTGCCCTTAAGGAGATGAGGACCAACCATATAACACTAGGTCTTATAGATAATAAGAACATCTATGTGTTCTGAGTATGACTAGAAGATTTGAGAGGAGACAGCAAAGTAATGAAATACTCCAAGTCACTTTTAAAAGTGTTACACAGGTGTCTGTACTGAATAGAACAGAATGAAAGGAAAAAACCTTGCCGTGAAGCATTTGCAATAATCTAGGTTACATACACAAGCACACATACTTCTAGATGCATTTTATTTGTGATGTTTGTAGATTACATTATTCAAAAACTTTTTTACACTTGCGAGTGCACATATAAGCACCTAGTCCTCTCAGATGAATTGGTTCTAGGGTTTGTTAATTAATGTAATCTGGGCCATGGAGATGGCTCAGCCCGTAAAGGTCCTTCCTGCCAAGACTGATAACCAGAGTTCAATCCTTGAAACCTCCATGTAGAAGCAGAGAACCAACTTTCATTTGTCCTCTGAAACCATACCAGCCTATGCACACACTTGTGCATGCGTATGCACAGACACACACACACACACACACAGAATACATAAATGTAAAATTCTGTTAAAAGGTAGAAAGAATGTACTGACACTTGAAAGCAATATTCTTATCTCTACAGGCATATTGTGGCATGTATGCCCTTCCAAACATGCAATGAATGGAAATTTTTAAATTAAAATATTAATTTTTAAAAAAGATAACAACTGCCTGAAATAGCGAGCCAGATTAACTCAAACTCTCCATTCTTAGAAAACTAATGTTCTTCTCTATGTAAAGCTAAATCAGTTAATGTTACCTCCTTGTAACAAAAAAAAAAAACCCACTAGTGCAATAATTCAATAGAATCTATTCATGGGATCTAGATGCCAGTGAATGTAAGAATGATAAGTCCTTCTACTTTATAGTCATAAATCAATGTGGATACTGTTTAAAAAGGGTAGGACTTTAATTATATCTCATAGTGTAAAAGTTTATGCTTCAGTGACCTTGTTGACAGTTTTTAGGAAAGCAAGGAAATACAACTATTGGCAACATTTAATTCACAAAAGTTCTTTTTTGTGTGTCTGGTTGCTTAAACAGAGGGAATATAGATTTATTAAGGCAAAGCAAGAACACTCAAGAGTGGGGGGAATATCCAAGGGAGGGGTATCCATTATAACTTAGTGCAAAGTATTTTGAGTGATTTTGAGTATTTGAGTGATATGACTGAAGTTTGCCATTGTAGAAATAACGTGTGAAAATTTTAAAGACTTTGGCATACTCTAAAAAGGTAGAAAAGAGATTTTATCTGAATTTTTTAAAAAATGTATTTTTTGTTTGTTTGATTGATTGAGATAGAGTTTCTCTGTGTAGCCCAGGCCATCCTGGAACTTACTCTGTAGACCAGACTGGCCTCTGTTTCAGAGATCTACCTGCCTCTGCCTCCTAAGTGCTAGGATTAAAGGCATGCACCACCATCACCAGGCCTAAAATTTTTTATAATTACTGTTTATGTAATAAATACAGTCCTAAAAATCAGTAGTTGGACTAGCCTTTAAAACTTTGCAAGGTCAGTATAATATTTTCTTTTCCAGGGTAAATATATTCTTACTGACCCCTCTTCCCCCTCCTCCCGCTTTTTGGCAGTATTGTAGATCAATCTGAGAGTTGTAACACTTGCTAACTCAAAACCATGTCCTTAGGTGTATTGTCAATGTTTTTAGTCATTTCAAATTCATTAAGATGATTTGTGAACAATTAAGTGAACTGCTGAGATACTATTTTTAAGCATTAGACCAGTATCTCAGTAAATTAATAAAAATATTGTAAAAGACTCATTTGCATTGAGATTGTAAAGGAATTCTAGAGTTAAAATTCTTTTTACAGTTCAATCAGAAGTCAGGTTTCATTACATTGTTCATTCATATTTCTATTGATAATTTCTTTCATTAGTATTGATAAGTAATTAATGTTACAGAATTAGTTAGATCTCTTTGTAAAAGCACATTAAAATGAGCTTCTAATGTATCCATTCATGATCTGTTATTGCTAGGCAGCTGTTTTCCTTGGGCCTTATAATTCCTTATTCTCAGCCCATGTAAGATAATTGCTGTATATTGTAATACTGCACTTGTTAATAATTTCCCGAAAGTATGTATGTATCAAAAATCTTCTTTCTCAAAATGTTTTAGATTATTGTACATTTTCTCATACATTAATAAACAATATGATCTCTATTTCAAACAAAGCTTTCTATTAAACAATTAGTGTTTTAGTCCTTAGTATGAATGCTTCAGGCTTATATTTTTTAAATGTAGAAGAGGTACTGTCCCTCAATGGATTTTATGAAAGAGTTAGAATCTTGTATAGAAAAGATAAAACTCAAACATGACAAAGAAAGGTTCGACTAAATATTTTGTATGTAGACAGAAAAATTCTACTTAAGGTACTAGTTGAAAGGGTGTGTTGCTTATCCAGAAGATTTGACCTTGTGAATTGACTTATTCTTCTCCAAGGCACTTGAGAGAAAAGACAACGATAGCAGTTACATCTAGAGGCTATTATGGATTGGAGGAGGAGAAGGGAACTGCATGTACTTCAACAAGGCGTCGGTCAACACCTCGAAGTTTGGCAGGTTTGACAAGTGGAGTTTTTGAGTCTATAATGGTTCAAGTTTTGAGACAGGAAGAACAGCTGAGAGCAAAAGAAGAAAAAAGGTAAATGTCAAAATGTTTAATGTTCAGATTTACAAGAATAACTTTTAAAAGTGTAGCTCCATTTATATGCCAATATCACATTTTGGTCCCGTTTTAGTAGGATTCTGTATTTAGTAGTAGTGTACTGTCAACAAAATATGAATTGTTAATGGATCACAGTGAAATTTGTTTTAAAGTATACTTTTAAATTGTAAAACAATTATTTTGACACTATACAAAAATAATATTTAGAAAACATTTTCTAATTTTCTAGAAATCTACTCAGGAGAACTTAAAACTACAGCAGTTTTTATATAGACTTGTAATTTTAGAATGGAATCACACACCTTTAAAGTACTACCAACTCCAGAAATAATGACATTTAAGAGTCACATAGGGATTGGCATAATGGCTCAGTAGTTAAAAGCTCTCGCTCATCTGGCAGAGGACCTGGGTTTAATTCCCAAGGACTCACATGGTAGCTCACAACTCTTTAACTCTAAATTCCAGGGAATCAAACACCCTCTTTTGGCCTCTTAAAGGTACCAAGCATGTACATAATACACAGACATAAAACACCCATACACATAAAAAAATTAAAGTTTAAAAAAATAGAATGACATAAATCCATCTCTGCCGTTTCCTTCATTTATTAACTTCCTGGATAACTGCTTGTTTTAGACTCTTCAGAAAGGAGTCTTGTACTCAATTAGTGGGTACCTTTTTGTGCCTGGGAGCATAGAGTAATGGCATTATATAATGTTTTATTTGTAACAAAAGCAAAATAGAGCCCCAAGAGGTAAGTGAAGCTCATTTCTGTAATTGAGTAGTGATTTTACACAAAATCAAATCTCAAACTATACTAGGAATATTTGCTGATATAATTAGGATTTGCTAGTGCTAGTTGAAGGCAACTTAAACTATTTTGTTGCTCTTATATTAATAAATGTAACTTGCTTTGCTAATTGTCATGATACTTTCAGCAATCTTAACCTTTTTTTAAGCAGTGATTCATTTCAGACACAACTATGAATACAATTCCCCCGCTTGTACAGAGCCTCAGAAAGTTTTTCTGCTATAGGAAATGAGGATTTTTAGAAAGAATTAAAATTAACCTGACAGTAGTGCATAAATTGATTGGAATGGAGTAGCCAAAAATTGGCAGACTGGTGGAAGACAGTGGCTCCATTACTTGTTACCACGAGCAGAGAGAGATGATATTGCTCTGGGAAGGCCTAACAAGACCTTATACCTTCCTTAATAGAAGTAGAGAAAGGGCATAGCTAGGTGTATTAGCACTTGTCTTTAATCCCAGTACTCAGGACTCAGGCAGGTCTGTGAGTTTGAGGCCAGCCATACACAGTGAGAATGACACTATATTAACAAGGAAGAAAACTTGAGTTTAGTATTTAGTGAACCAGGCTGAGCTCTCAACATGTGTGTAATCAGTTTATATCCTGAGCCACAGAAAGTAAAGTAGTTTGTTGAAAGTCACATAATTTTTGAGCAGTTCATATGCCTGTGTTACTAAGCAGTACATTACCCTGTGTGTGATTTGCAAAAAGTCAGAATATCAAAGAAACTAAGTTTGAAAATGAGAAGAGACAGAGAACTTGCCTAAAAATAAAGGTATTGAGATGATGGCAAACATTTAAGCATCCAAGTATGAGTGTATTGCAAGAAGCTAGAAATAGTTCCAAATCATCTTTTCTTCCAGCCTTACATGTATTTATGTGTACTCATGCCACAAATAAACAGAGGAGAATAAGCTATGCACCACCACACCCAACTCCCGTATGTTTTCTAATTTAATTGTAAGAATTCTTTGTATACTCAAGATGCAAGTCATTTACCAGACAAATATGACTGGCAGAAGTACAACATACTTGTAAATTTTTAATTATAAAAATTAACTCATTATTGTACAAATTAGCTGGGCATGGTGGTGTCCATGCGTAGTCTTAGCACTTGGAAGGAGCTGGTAGGAAGATCAGGAATTCAATTCATCCTTGGCTACACTGGGAGTTTGAGGGTCAACATGGTGTATGTTGGTCTGTGTTATGATCCTGTCTCATAAAACCAGATTTGGGCTAGGGAGAAGGCTTAATGGGTAAAGTGCTTGTTGGCAAAGCATTAGGACCTAAGTTTGATCCCTACTACCTGCATAGAAAGCTGAGTGTGGCAGCACACATCCAGTACTAGGAGGCAGAAACAGGAGGATCCCATGGCTGTGCTACCCAGTCAGTCTAAGCAATTGGTGAGCTCCAAGCTCAGTGGGAGACCCTGCTTCAGAAAATAAGTTGGAAAGTATTAGAGGAAGACACACAGTATCAATCTCTAATTTCACCAAACACATACTCCTCTGCACACATCTGCACATACACTTGCATGTACACATTCAGGTATACACACACACATGCACTTTTAAGTTTTAAAAAGAAAAGCGAGCAAGGAAAATTATATTATACTAGCAGACTATATTGACTTTAGTGATAGTGTGTGTTCCCAGCTGTTTGGGTTGATATCAGCAAAAAAGCTCTTCCATAAAATGTGTACTTAGAATATTATTTTCTCACTAGCATTTATGTTTTTATTCAGTAAGAGACCCTTTCTCCATAAAATGAGGTAAAGTGCCTAGTGTGATGAGATATGCCTTTAGTTCCAACACTTGAAAAGCAGAGACAGGTGGATGTCTGTGAGTTCCAGCCCACCCTATTCTACATAGAGAGTTCAAAGACAGCAGGACTGCATAGTGAGACCATGTATCAGACAAATCAAACAAACAAACCAAAACAACAGAATAAGATGGAGCACAGTAGAAGAAAACAATCAACATTAACTTTGCCTTCACAATGCCACAGGCATATAACATACACACAAAATAAAATATATCGTACATATTAATTGATCAGTTTGGTGTTTGAGTATTTTATTGAATTACTATAGCATATATGTCCATCAAGAATGTTACCCTGTAGTTTTCTTTTTTGTTATTTCCTTTTATTAGTTTTGATATCAGAGTAAGACTGGCTTTGTAAAAATGAATTTGGAAGCATTTTTTTCCCTGCTGCTTCATGGAATTGTTGAGGGAATAGTTTCTGGTACTCGGGAAGGAGTTATGAAAAATTCTTTAGAAACTGTGACATCTCCCATTAGGGTTCAACTCAAGCTAAGGAGGGAGCCAAAAGAGTAAAGTAAATACTTGATCAGTTTTCGGGGATCTCCATTGACTGAACTCAAGGGCACCAAGAGGATGAGATTGTCTGTAGATAATCTGTACCGCAAAGAGTGGGGTAAATGTAGAGGCAAACAAAAGATACTTGCTACAGTATCTTTAAGTTATTCATATCTAAAATTACAAATGTACAGGCTTACTTCTTAAGACTCAACATTACTGCAGGGCCTTTTTTTGGTGAATGATATTACCATCTATTGAATTGTACAGGTTAGAAATCTGGAGTTCATTCTAGAAATGTTCATATTTCTTACATGCATTTTGAATACACCTAAGATTATGCCAGTTTATTTCCCAAGTATCTTTCATATCTATATATGTCTTTTGTTTCTGACTTCATCTAGTTCATTTATCCTTTACTTAAACTAAGGAGATTGTTTCTTTATTGGTTTAACAGTATCTATGCTTTACTCATTCTAGTGTGTTTTACACATTAAACTATATTGAGGGCTGGGGGTATAGCTGAGCTGGTAAATTTATAGTTACCTATCTTTAGGAAAATGATGGACAGCAAGCTGTTTGTGCTAATTGGTACAGAGAGGGTCTTTTGATTTAGAAAACATCAATATAGTAAGTCAAAGACTTTTAAAAAAATAAAATTTGTTATAAGTACATATTGGCTCTCCTTACATAAAATCTGTGAATCTAGAATTTAGGGGTGTGTGTGTGTGTGTGTGTGTGTGTGTGTGTGTGTGTGTTTAGTTTCTTTGTCTTATGGGACAAGTGCTGAGATCTCAGGCATGTATCATCTTATTCAGCATAGAATATGATGTTATCTATAGTTATGATAGTCCTCTCATGTTTACTTTTTATAAAACTTAATGTTTGGATTACCAGAAATTATATCCATTAATATTCATTGTTTCACATACCTGGATGAACTAACTCATCTTTTGATTTGAAATCACAATTTGTTGATTTCAAAGTAGTTTCTACATGTTTGTAAAATAAAAATTCTGACTTTATAATTTATTTTCAAATTTTCTTAACAAAAGATAGCAGTGACATTTGACAGTTATCACCCTGCATTTTTATAGCTCTCTAGTCTTTTGCTAATTTCTTTTTTAAAGATTTGTATATTTATTTTATGTGTACAAGCATTCTATCTGCATGCTAGAAGAGGGCATCAGATCACATTATAGATGTTTGTGAGCCACCATGTGTTTGCTGTGAATTGAATTCAAGACCTCTGGAAGAACAGCCAGTGGGCTGAGCCTTCTGAACCACTGAGCCATCTCTCCAGCCTTCCTTTTACTAACTTCCCATACAAATCTTGACATCCAGGTCAAATGCCAAAAACCTTACATGCTCCTAACTGCTCGCATCTAAAGTGAGGGCATGTAACCAGGTATATATTTCTTAAGAGGAACTGCTGAGACAGGAGTGGCAGTGGTGGTAGTAGGAGTTTCTGATTAGTTTAGATTCTTATTTTCAGAGGTGTGAAAAACTACTAGCAGCCTAATTTTTCTGGAGAAATACATAGATATAATTTAGGTTACTTTGTGCTTCTTTCTTTTAAAGATTTGTGTCTCTGATCCTACACAGGGCTTCTATAACTTTCCTAGTAAACTTTAAATTCTTTTTTAGTTTTAACTTTGAGATTCTGTTGTTAGCAGAAAAGTCAAAAACCTGGCTGATAAATTTGTTATGAGTGGTTAATGTTCCTAAAATGTAATATATATGTTACTTATTTTAAAATGCAAATACCTTAGCTTCCCTTTGTCCTGCCTTCAGTTTGCTTTTGTTGTAGTGTTTCCTTAATGGATAATTTTCAGTGGAAGCTTCT